AAATGGCCACGTCTTACTGTAGGAAGGTCGGAATCAGGTGCCGTTAGTGGCGTTGGAAACTAAACTAATAGAGCTTTCCAATGGTACCAAATACACACTCTACTTCGTCTCCTATTAGTACCAGTGATTTGGGGAAATTGGCTGATTTTCCAGTTCTGATCAGCTCTAAAACCCTAGCAAAGCTACACTAGTTCTTGTTCCTAACATCACTTGTTTTGGTTCAAATTCATCCAAACCAATTTCTTAGGGTTCATATACAGGGGAGCAAGTTATCTAGTACCATTGGAGCTCAAAATGCAATACACATAAATGATTAAAAGAGTCAAAGCAGTCTAGCCACAAAAAGAAACCAAAACAATCCATTTCTTACCAAAAAACAACCACTTGTCTTGTTTAATTTCCATTTAAACTCCCACCAAGCCTTAAACCAATGTTTATTCAAGTTTCTTAGCCTTAAATAAGGTACAAATGAACCACAAAATCAAGGAGAAACCTCTCCTACAAAACCGGTCAACCAAGAGTAAACAAAACAGTCCACTAATTCACTTATCTCACCAACCTTCATCCTTTCATTGTAGTTTACTTAAACATCATACCAAGTGTTATCATTAACTCAAAAAGGGTTTGTTAATACTTCAAGAAAAACCATGAACAAAGCTAAAACATTTCATCAAACACATGGTATGCCAACCAACCAACCCTATTACCACTTGTTTAGTTCAAGAAGTTTCACCACAAATATCATCCAAACAACTTCTAGTTTGCCATCAAAACTTAAAACATATGATATAACACCATAAAACTAAGATTTAAAGATCATTTACCTTTCTTAAGTGAGGCTTGAATCACCAAAGCAAACCACCAAAACTAAAGCTCCAAGCTTGCAACACACACTAGGGTTGAAGGTTGTTCACTCCACTAACTCAATCTCTTTCTCTTTTGGTTTTTGCTCAAGATCAAACTAGGGATTTAAAACAAGAAGATGGAGCTTTATTCCTTCCCTTGGAAGCTTCAAGAGGTTCGGCCATAAGGAGGATAAAATGGAGCAAATTTGGTTTAAATTTCCTCTAATCCTTTGGTCAAACAAGATGTGTGATTAGGGTTTGGCCACCTGGCCCAATCTTGGCCCTTTCTTCCCTTAATCTTTTGACTAATGATGTTTCTACCCTCCAAATATGCCAATGCCTATTTAACACCCCTGAACTATCATATAAAGTCCCAACCACTAATAAAAAGACATTTGGTGAAAGTGTACGTGTTGAAATAAAATAAAACCAAGTCAAGGAAATGTTTTAATTCAAGTAAAAGATAATGAAATGCAATGCAAGGGAAATGTTATAATGCATGTAGAATGCAATGTAAGGACATGTTATAAGTGATTTAAATCTTAGGGCAAGGCATATAATTTAGGAGAATTATGTTTTAAAGTGAGGGTTCTCACACTCTCTCTCCCTTAAAGAATTTCGTTCTCGAAATTCTCACCTTGATCACTGAATAGCTCAGGATACTTTGTACGAATGTCCTCTTCCACTTCCTAAGTAGCTTCCTCTACCTCATGATTTCTCCACAAAACCTTTACCAAGGGTATTTGTTTAGTCCTTAATTCCTTTACTTTTCGATCTAAGATCTGTACCGGCCTTTCTTCGTAAGTCAGCGATTCATCAATGTCAATTTCTTCTGGGTTCAGTACATGAGTGGGGTCTGGATGATACTTCTTCAACATAGAAACGTGAAACACGTCATAGATCCTGGATGGACTTGCTGGTAATTCCAACCGGTAAGCCATATTCCTTACTCGTTGAAGAATTTCTAAAGGTCCTATATATCTCAGTTGAAGCTTCTTTCCTTTTCCCGCCGTGAGACTTCGAAGTGGTGTGACCTTTAGAAATACCTTGTCTCCAACTTCAAACTCCAAATCCTTTCGTCGATTATCGGCGTAGCTCTTCTGTCGACTTTGCGCTGTCTGAAGCCTCTGATGTATCACTTTCACCTTCTCATACGCATCCTCGATCCATGGTACTGCAGTTGGGTCTAAAACCTTTCTTTCTTCTATTTCATCCCAGTATATTGGTGATCGGCACTTTCTTCCATAAAGAGCTTCATACGGTGCCATTTGTATGGAGGAATGATAACTATTATTGTACGCAAATTCGACTAACACCATATACTATCCCCAGCTTCCACCAAAATCCAAGATACAAGTCCTTAGCATGTTCTCAAGTGTCTGAAAGGTTCTTTCTGATTGTCCATCAATTTGGGGATGATAAGTAGCACTAAAGTTCGACTTGGTCCCTAAACCTCCTTGTAACTGTTGCCAGAAATGAGACATGAACCGTGGATCTCTATCAGAAACAATGCTTACTGGAATACCATGCAATCTCACTATTTCATCCATGTATAGTTGGGCCAATTTCTCCAAGGAGTATCTCATATTTATAGGCAAGAAATGAGCAGACTTGGTTAACCTGTCTATTATTACCCAAACGGCGTCGTGACCTTTCTGGGTACGGGGTAACCCTGATACGAAATCCATGGTAATATGTTCCTATTTTCAGTCAGGGATTTCAAGAGGTTGTAGAAGACTTGAGGGTTTTTTATGTTCAGCTTTCACTTACTGGCACATTAAACACTTTTGGACAAACTGAACAATTTTTTTTTTCATTTTATCCCACCAATACAGTCTCCTCAAATCCTGATACATTTTATTGCTTCCGGGATATACTGTATATTTAGATCGATGTGCCTCCTCCAAAATCTCTCTTTTTATCACTTTATCTTGCGGTACCACTATCCGATCACGAAATTTCAAGATACCCCCGGAACTCACATTAAAGTCTGAGATTTCCCCTTTTTGCATTTTTTCTACCCATTTTTGCACCATCTAGTCATTTTTTTGAGCTTCTTTAATTCGGTCCAACAGATTAGATCTCACCGTGATATTGCCGAAGATTACTCTTTGTCGGTCCAACCATGGATTCCATTCACTCACTTTTTCCAACAAATTCCATTCTTTGACCATTAATCCAGCTACTTGAACTTTTCGACTTAAGGCATCTGCTACAACATTGGCCTTCCCCGGGTGGTAGTTAATTGTACAGTCATAATTCTCAAGAAATTCCACCCTTCGACGTTGTCTCAAGTTTAGCTCCTTTTGAGAGAATAGATATTTCAAACTCTTATGATGGGTATAAACCTCAAAATTCACCCCATATAAGTAATGCCTCCACTTTTTTAAGGCAAAGACTATAGCGGCCAATTTCACGTTGTGAGTCGGGTAATTCCGCTCATAAGGTTTTAATTTCCTAGAGGCATAGGCAATCACATTTCCATTCTGTATTAGAACACATCCCAATCCTTCTCTTGAAGCGTCCGTATATATGGTGAAGCTGTCTTTCCCATTTGGCAAGACTAAGACTGGCGCCGAAGTCAACCGTTTATTTAATTCCCGAAAACTAGCTTCACACTTAGAACCCCAGACAAATTGGCCATGCTTTTTTGTCAGATCGGTTAAAGGCCCAGCTAATTTGGAGAAATCTTTGATGAACCGACTGTAGTACCCGGCTAAACCTAGGAAACTACGGACCTCAGTTGGAGTCTCTGACTGTTTCCACCCAGATACGGCTTCTACTTTCACTGGATCCACAGAAATGCCATTTTTAGATATACATGCCCTAGAAAAGAAAATTACTCCAGCCAAAACTCGCACTTGCTAAAATTGGCATATAACCGATGCTCTCTTAAGGTTTGCCAAACTATCCTCAAATGCCATTCGTGATCCTCTCGAGTCTTAGAATACACCAAGATATCATCTATGAACACCACGACAAATTGGTTCAAGTAAAGTTTAAAGACTCGATGCATCAAATCCATAAATGCAGCAGGAACATTTGTTAAACCAAAAGGCATCACTGCAAACTCAAAATACCAATATCTAGAATTAAAAGCAATCTTCGGTATATCCTCCTGCTTAATTCGTAGTTGATAATAACCTTGCCTCAAGCCCAACTTAGAGAAAACCACTGCTCCTTGCAACTGGTCAAACAACTCGTCAATGTGTGGCAAAGGATTTAAGCTGCGATAGTCGATACACAGTCTCAAACTACCATCTTTCTTTTTAACAAATAGAACAAGCGCTCCCCAAGGTGATTCACTTTTTTGAATAAACCCTCGCTCTAACAAATCCTGTAACTGCAATTTTAGTTCCTTAAGTTCGGCAGGAGCCATTCAGTATAGTGTTTTTGCAATAGGAGCGGTTCTAGGTACCAAATTGATTTTAAATTCTATTTCCCTCTCTGGCGGCATCGACTTCAACTCGTCAGGGAAAACATCAGAAAATTCATTTACCACTAACATATCTTCCAGTTTCACCTTATCTCCAGGAGTATTAATCAAGAAAGCTAAGTAACCCTGCGCCCCCTTACTCAATAATTTCCTGGCTCGAATTCCCGAAACAAGTGTAGATGAGGCTAGTCTACCTCGCACATTCAATCTTAGGGTTGCCTCTCCGGGTATAAAGAACTCCACCACCTTAGTCTTGCAGTTCAACTGAGCATTATAACGAGCCAACCAATCCATGCCTATAATCATGTCTAGGGCTGTCAACGGTCCGAGTCTGGACCCGGACCCGGACTGGACCCGCCAACATTTTCCGGGTACGGGTAGATATATAGATCCGTGACCCGGACCCATTTTATCTAATAAATTTACGGGTCGGATACGGAATATACCATTCCAACCCATATCCTACCCGAACCCGTTTTAATTAATTAATAATTAAAACAATATATACCTACATTACTACTTTCGTTCCCAAATTTATTGAACCCTAACCTACCCACAGCCGCACATCTCTTTTTCCCCTCACTCTCTTTTCTCTTTTGCTCTGCCGTGACCAGTCCCGCCCCACATCCCGCCTCCGCCAGCTCTTCCAGTCTCATTCTCCCCTCTTTTCTACCGGCCTCTCATCCTCCCCTCTTTTCTGACCAGTGACCAGTCCCCCCTCACATCCTCCGCCTCCGCTTCCGCCAGTGACCAGTCCGCCGTGAAACCAGCGAGCTCTCTTCATCTCTGACGCCTGACGGAGTGACAGTTGCAGCTCCAAAGAAGCCCAACTCTTCCAGCTGTTGAGGGAAAATTTCACTGTTGGTAAGCTGAAAAAATTGGAGCTTTTGCTGTCTGCCTTGCCTTCATCTTCCCAGGCTTAATTGCTTTAAGGTATTACCGAACCCACCTTATGCGGATAGTAAGGGGAAAAAAACAAAAGATTAACTGAAATTGCCATTGTTTTCTTGGTTTGTGATTTCGCTGTTAAATTGAACCATTTGTTTTTTTTTTCCTTTGGCAGAGATATCCACGTCATTTCAACAAGAAGGGACAGAATAATAGCAGTAGCAATGGTCATTCTAGCTGTTATGACAAGCACCATAGCTATTTCTACGAATATATACAAGTTAGTTGGAAACAAGTCATAGGTCTTTGTCTTTTTCAGCTTTGTTGTGGCTGAGTTGTATGTTTTCCTGTATAATATCAAATGTGGGTTGTATTGTTTCTGACAAGCACCATAGCTCTTTCATTTGTAATTTTCGGCAACAAAAGTTCAATTCTGCTTCTTCGGCAAATTAAATAACTTCCCTGATTTCGCAAAGGCTTGTGTAGTCCGTAAAATGTGATAAAAATCAGACTGCATTTTCAGGCGCTGAAGTTGTAGCAAAAACAGGTTTTCTCGGGCCTTTTTCCGGGTAGGCCCGACCCGGATCCGGGACCCGTCGGGTGCGGGTCCGGTAGATATATTAGGAGACCCGTCGGATATTTGGGTCGAGTCTGGAAGTAATGCAGTATAACGGGTTCGGGTCCGGATTTATTAATTTCGGCCCGGACCCGGCCCGTTGACAATCCTAATCACGTCATACCCCTTGAGATCCAAACTTATCAAGTCTACCACCAACTTCCGTCTACCTACCCAAATCTCATAATTTTTGTAAACCATGTTGATAATTAGGTTTTGATCCTCAGTAGGTGTTCTAACCTCCAAGTCATAGGGTAATTTAACAGGATTTATGTCAATACCATACATGAAAGCGGGATTCACAAAAGAATGAGTTGCCCCAGGGTCAATTAAAAGCTTAGCTAAGCGGTGGAATACAGGGATCGTATCTTCCACTACTTTATAGGACTCAGGGGCTCGCTGATAGTCCAAGGCAAAAGCCCTAGCAGAGGCTTTCGGTCTACTCCCACTAGCAGTTGGTTGTTTAGAGTTTGACTTCTCTGGCTGCACACCCTCGTTCCCTTCACGGAGTTTAACAGGACATGCTGCAATCTGATGCTCAGAGCTACCGCAACGGAGACACTTCTGCAGTTTTCGCCAACAAGCATTCTCGTGTGGTTTGCCTTACTACAATATATACAGCATGCTCGAGGAGCCGGTGTCGGACCTCCTTGGGAAACAGACCTCTGTTGGCCTCACCTGTTGTGGGCCCCTCTAGATGGAGCTCCTCTCGGTGTCCCTGAGATACAAACTCCACCCGTACCTCTTCCAAACTCAGGAGCCAGTACATTCTGATCGCCTTATCCGATAGTACTACTAGATGCACCTCGTCTCTTTGTTTGAAAGGTCCGAACTTGAAATCAAGTCTGTTCCACTCGTTGAGCCTTCTCCAACGCATCTTTAAACGTATCAATTTGGGTTGCGGCTAAGTCTTTCTAGATCTCCGCATTCAAACCTTGTACAAATTGCCTTATGCTTTTCTGCTCATTAACCACCAGTTCCGGAGCAAATTTAGAGAGTCTGGTGAACTGGGTCTTATATTCTGCCACACTTGAAGTGCCTTGGCGCAGTTTGATAAATTCATCCGCTCTTTTCTCCTGAATTAAAGGCGGAAGGAACTTCTCGTTAAACTTCCTTGTGAAGTTAAATCAAGGGCATGGAGTTTCCTCCCTGTCCCATTTTGCCCTTACTACATTCCACCAGGAACAGGCCGCACCTTCTAACTAGAAAACGGCGAAAGTTACTTGCCTTTCCTCGGTGTAGTGCAACGCAACAATTATATTTACTATTCGGGTTAATTCCACTTTGTCCCCCCAAACTTTGGACGATTACCCACTTAAGTCCCTAAACTTCAAAATGGGACACTTAAATCCCTAAACTTATAAATACCTCCCACTTAAGGAAAATTGTTAACAAATCCTGAATGCCGTTGGTGGTCGAAGTATCCCATTTTATAAGGGTTTAGGGATTAAAGTGTCCCATTTTATAAGTTCAAGGACTTAAGTGGGAGGTATTTATAAGTTTAGGGACTTAAGTGTCTCATTTTGAAGTTTAGGGATTTAAGTGGATAATCGTCCAAAGTTTGGGGGGACAAAGTGGAATTAACCCTTACTATTCTTTGAAACCAATTCTTGGCAATTTCGGGATCTGGTCCTCCAAGAAATTTAGGAGGAGCGAACTTTTGGAACCGTTCCAGGGCCCTGTCTTCACCTACTTCAGGGTCCCTTTGCTAGTTACCAGGTACTTGACCTTGCTGGTCAACCAATCGGGCTAATAAATCAGTCATACGATTGATAGCTGTAGCAACCTGGTCCCCTCCTTCATTTCTGGGTCCCTGGTTCTTATTAGCTACAGACCCTTGTTCCTCTTCCTGATCTTGGGTTTGCCTGGGTCCACGTCCACGGCCCCGACCACGTTGTCTTCTACCCTCCATTATTACTCACTAGGCTAGGGTTCAAATTTCATAACTAATAGTCTGAGCAAGTTATGGGTTTACAATATGTACTTATTCACAATCGAAAGTTAAAGAAACATGAAATCGGAATCACGATAAGTAAGGAAAAACACAAAGCAGTTAAATGCCAATTCGAAATAAAGTCAAGTCAAAGTCAAGGTCAAAGTCAAAGTCAAAGTTAAAGTATTATACATTCAAAGGCTCATAGCAGTCATTTACAAGCTAACAAGGCCAAAAGTATCAAGTACGAGTCTCAAAAGTACAGACACAGTTCATCAATTCATATCATGCAAAAGCCAGAGTAAATATTCAAAAGAAAACTGTACAACCACCAAGTCAGCACATCCCCTATCGTTGCTATTTACAAAGGTCAAAATCACCCAAAATAGTAACCTAACAATCAGGACTCAGTCCACCGCGGGACTAGCTGACCTCTTATCTTGGGCAGGTTCAGCTCCTGCCTTGCCTCCGATGTGGGAAGCCTCATCGCTCACATCTCCAAGTAGGTCATCACAAATATTCAGAATGGACTCCGCTCTATTCCTCACTTTCATGGCCCCCTTAACCATGCGCTCTTGAGCTTCTCCAAACTGCACACAGAGGTCATCAACCCTTTCTTGACCCTTAACCATATCATACTCAAGTTCTTTGATCCGATCGGCTTGCATCTGAATAGTTTCCTTTAACTGATTCACTTCAGCTTCAAGCCTAGTATTATCCTTCGCTAGAGCCTTTCTCTCCTCCACCACAGCCAAAACTACTGTATTGGGATAGGCATAAGTATGGCGGCACTCACACCGCCGATGGCAGTTAGCAGGACTCCAATGCACGACAGCTCCTCCTGGCCGAATCTGGTATCTAATCAAAGGTAATGGGGCATGGGGCTGCACGCCAACCTGACTATCACTAGGACCACTATGTCCGTCCATCCTACACAAAGTGTAGATAAAACTTAAGTACCCTTAAGGGAAAATGATCAAATATAATCCTTAAGTCGAAAATTCCTAACACGCCCAGGCCAATTCAAACCTAGGCTCTGATACCACCTGTGACAGCCCCACCATTCCCTAGGGCGAACCCTAGGATATCAGCGGACTGCCTGCCCAACTCTCGTCGGGGCTCGGTCGATCAAAGAACTAGCAACTCAAGAAAACTGATGAATATCATCAAAGCAAAGAGTGCAAACCCTAATGGAAATATAATTGCCACGCCAACTTTCCAAACTTAGAATATGGACTAAATGTCAAACTTACCACTCCATACTTAATTTACATAACATACGTCGAACTTATAAATTCAAACTTACAAGAGTCAAAAGTAAGGTCTTCTAACCAAAATTAGTACAAGCCACAAATACAAGCTCAAGACAAAAGTTAAACTATGAAAGTTCTTGGCCATAATTCCATCCTCGATCTGTTAAGGAAAACAAAAGGAATAGGGTGAGTTAAAACTCAGTGAGGTTCCAAGTAAACACGTAAGCACATAGCCAAATAAAGGCATAATGTAGACAAGTAAGCACCATATTGTACTATAACAATTTAATCACAATTCAATTCAAGGATACGGGGTGGCTTCCAAAAGACAAATCCACTTGAGCTTGATCATGCGAGAATCCGTTGATTCTCCGTCAACGTTTGCATTTAAGAATACAATGTCTGTAGAACACCACTTTCTCCAATTTCCGTCCACCAGTCAACCTCCTTACCGGGCCTGAACACCACAAACAGTAAGTAGGTGATACTCGAGTATACCAGTTTTTAGTTTTTAGTAAACAGTTCTCAGGATTTATTGATTTTCTCGATCAAGCCCTTACTGGATCGATACAACTGACTCACCTATGAGGTTGGGTACCCAAACAGTAGCTGTAGTTGATGGGGTATCACCCAAACAATTCATACACAGTCACATATAGAGAAATTACATCTCATAATAGCAGCATACAGAGCCTCAGTTGAATCGAGGGAGGTCGAGTGGGATAAAGTACACGCTCGCCTCAATTTTTATTAAAACAATGTTTGGCTCAAACAGTCGCAAATCAAGTATTCAGATATTTCACATAGATAATTAACAAGTAGTGGAACACTCACCTGTCAAGCAATGCAGTGATCAAACGTCAATTCCTTTGGTTACGATCACCTCTGTTTCCCAATCCTAGGGCAACGAGTGAAATCGTTAACAATCTAGGTTCATTTCCAACCCAAATGTGCGTTCATAAGGTGACAAATGAGTAGTTAAATCTACTCAATTCACCACGTAAGTTAGGCCACCAAAAGAAACCAAAACAGTCCATTTCTTACCCAAAAACAACCACTTGCCTTGCTTAATTTCCATTTAAACTCACACAAAGCCTTAAACCAATGTTTATTCAAGTTTCTTAGGCTTAAATAAGGTGGAAATGAACCACAAAATCAATGAGAAACCTCTCCTACAAAACCAGTCGACCAAGAGTAAACAAAACAGTCCACTAATTCACTTATCTCACCAACCTTCATCCTTTCATTGTAGTTAACTTAAACATCATACCAAGTGTTATATTTAACTCAAAAAGGGTTTGTTAACACTTCAAGAAAAACCATGAACAAAGCTAAAACATTTCATCAAACACATGGTATGCCAACCAACCAACCCTACTACCACCAGTTTAGTTCAAGAAGTTTCACCACAAATATCATCCAAACAGCTTCCAGTTTGCCATCAAAACTTAAAACATATGATATAACACCTTAAAACTAAGATTTAAAGATCATTTACCTTCCTTAAGTGAGGCTTGAATCACCAAAATAAACCACCAAAACCAAAGCTCCAAGCTTGCAACACATACTAGGGTTGAAGGTTGTTCACTCCACTAACTCAATCTCTTTCTCTTTTGGTTTTTTCTCAAGATCAAACTAGAGTTTTAAAACAAGAAGATAGAGTTTTCTTCCTTCCCTTGGAAGCATCAAGAGGTTCGGCCATAAGGAGGATAAAATGGAGCAAAGTTGGTTTAAATTTCCTCTAATCCTTTGGTCAAACAAGATGTGTGATTAGGGTTTGGCCACCTGGCCCAATCTTGGCCCTTTCTTCCCTTAATCTTTTGACTAATGATGTTTCTACCCTCCAAATGTACCAATGCCTATTTAACACCTCTAAACTATCATATAAAGTCCCAACCACTAATAAAAAGACATTTGGTCAAAGTATATGTGCTGAAATAAAATAATACCAAGTCAAGCAAATGTTTTAATTCAAGTAAAAGATAATGAAATGCAATGCAAGGGAAATGTTATAATGCATGTAGAATGCAATGTAAGGACATGTTATAAGTGATTTAAATCTTAGGGCAAGGCATATAGTTTAGGAGAATTATGTTTTAAAGTGAGGGCTCTTACACTCTCTTCCCTTTAAAGAATTTCGTTCTCGAAATTCTCACCTTGATCACTGAATAGCTCAGGATACTTCCACTTCCCAAATAGCTTCCTCTACCTCATGATTTCTCCGCAAAACCTTTACCAAGGGTATTTGTTTAGTCCTTAATTCCTTTACTTTTCGATCTAAGATCTGTACCGGCCTTTCTTCGTAAGTCAGCGATTCGTCAATGTCAATTTCTTCTGGGTTCAGTACATGAGTGGGGTCTGGACGATACTTCTTCAACATAGAAACGTGAAACACGTCATGGATCCTGGATAGATTTGCTGGTAATTCCAACCGGTAAGCCATATTCCTTACTCCTTGAAGAATTTCTAAAGGTCCTATATATCTCAGTTGAAGCTTCTTTCCTTTTCCCGCCGTGAGACTTCGAAGTGGTGTGACCTTTAGAAATACCTTGTCTCCAACTTCAAACTCCAAATCCTTTCGTCGATTATCGGCGTAGCTCTTCTGTCGACTTTGCGCTGTCTGAAGCCTCTAATGTATCACTTTCACCTTCTCATACGCATCCTCGATCCATGGTACTGCAGTTGGGTCTAAAACCTTTCTTTCTTCTATTTCATCCCAGTATATTGGTGATCGGCACTTTCTTCCATAAAGAGCTTCATACGGTGCCATTTGTATGGAGGAATGATAACTATTATTGTACGCAAATTCGACTAACACCATATACTATCCCCAGCTTCCACCAAAATCCAAGATACAAGTCCTTAGCATGTTCTCAAGTGTCTGAAAGGTTCTTTCTGATTGTCCATCAATTTGGGGATGATAAGTAGCACTAAAGTTCGACTTGGTCCCTAAAGCTCCTTGTAACTGTTGCCAGAAATGAGACATGAACCATGGATCTCTATCAGAAACAATGCTTACTGGAATACCATGCAATCTCACTATTTCATCCATGTATAGTTGGGCCAATTTCTCCAAGGAGTATCTCATATTTATAGGCAAGAAATGAGCAGACTTGGTTAACCTGTCTATTATTACCCAAACGGCGTCGGACCTTTCTGGGTACGGGGTAACCCTGATACGAAATCCATGGTAATATGTTCCTATTTCCACTCAGGGATTTCAAGAGGTTGTGGAAGACCTGAGGGTTTCTGACGTTCAGCTTTCACTTACTGGCACACTAAACACTTTTGGACAAACTGAGCAATTTCTTTCTTCATTTTATCCCACCAATACAGTCTCCTCAAATCCTGATACATTTTACTGCTTTCGGGATATACTGTATATTTAGATCGATGTGCCTCCTCCAAAATCTCTCTTTTTATCACTTTATCTTGCGTACCACTATTCGATCACGAAATTTCAAGATACCCTCGGAACTCACATTAAAGTTTGAGATTTTCCCTTTTTGCACTTTTTCTACCCATTTTTGCACCATCTGGTCATTCTTCTGAGCTTCTTTAATTCGGTCCAACAGATTAGATCTCACCATGATATTGCCCAAGATTACTCTTTGTCGGTCCAACCGTGGATTCCATTCACTCACTTTTTCCAACAAATTCCATTCTTTGACCATTAATCGAGCTACTTGAATTTTTCGACTTAAGGCATCCGCTACAAAATTGACC